CGCGGTGAGAGACCACCCCCTGCGCACCCCCTATGATGTCGAGAATATGCCATGCCTGCTGTGCCCTGGGCGACTGTCACGGATAGCGGCCGCGGTGAGAGACCGCCCTTTGCGCACCCCCTACGGTGTCGAGAATATGCCATGCCTGCTGTGCTTGGGCGAACGGATAGCGGCCATGGTGAGAGACCACCCCCATGCGCACCCCCTATGGTGTCGAGGATATGCCATGCCTCCTGTGCCCTGGACGACCGTCACGGATAGCGGCCGCGGTGAGAGACCACCCCCTGCGCACCCCTATGGTGTCGAGAATATGCCATGCCTGCTGTGCCCTGGAACGACCGTCACGGATAGCGGCCGCGGTGAGAGACCACCCCCTGCGCACCCCCTTATGGTGTCGAGAATATGCCATGCCTGCTGTGCCCTGGACGACCGTCACGGATAGCGGCCGCGGTGAGAGACCACCCCCTGCGCACCCCCTATGGTGTCGAGAATATGCCATGCCTGCTGTGCCCTGGACGACCGTCACGGATAGCGGCCGCGGTGAGAGACCACCCCCTGCGCACCCCCTATGGTGTCGAGAATATGCCATGCCTGCTGTGCCCTGGACGACCGTCACGGATAGCGGCCGCGGTGAGAGACCACCCCCTGCGCACCCCCTACGGTGTCGAGAATATGCCATGCCTGCTGTGCCCTGGACGACCGTCACGGATAGCGGCCGCGGTGAGAGACCACCCCCTGCGCACCCCCTATGGTGTCGAGAATATGCCATGCCTGCTGTGCCCTGGACGACCGTCACGGATAGCGGCCGCGGTGAGAGACCACCACGCACCCCTATGGTGTCGAGAATATGCCATGCCTGCTGTGCCCTGGACGACTGTCACGGATAGCGGCCGCCGAGAGACCAATGCCATACCGGTGTCGAGAATATGCCATGCCTGCTGTGCCCTGGACGACCGTCACGGATAGCGGCCGCGGTGAGAGACCACCCCCTGCGCACCCCCTATGGTGTCGAGAATATGCCATGCCTGCTGTGCCCTGGACGACCGTCACGGATAGCGGCCGCGGTGAGAGACCACCCCCTGCGCACCCCCTATGGTGTCGAGAATATGCCATGCCTGCTGTGCCCTGGACGACCGTCACGGATAGCGGCCGCGGTGAGAGACCACCCCCTGCGCACCCCCTATGGTGTCGAGAATATGCCATGCCTGCTGTGCCCTGGGCGACCGTCACGGATAGCGGCCGCGGTGAGAGACCACCCCCTGCGCACCCCCTATGGTGTCGAGAATATGCCATGCCTGCTGTGCCCTGGACGACCGTCACGGATAGCGGCCGCGGTGAGAGACCACCCCCTGCGCACCCCCTATGGTGTCGAGAATATGCCATGCCTGCTGTGCCCTGGACGACCGTCACGGATAGCGGCCGCGGTGAGAGACCACCCCCTGCGCACCCCCTATGGTGTCGAGAATATGCCATGCCTGCTGTGCCCTGGACGACCGTCACGGATAGCGGCCGCGGTGAGAGACCACCCCCTGCGCACCCCCTATGGTGTCGAGAATATGCCATGCCTGCTGTGCCCTGGACGACCGTCACGGATAGCGGCCGCGGTGAGAGACCACCCCTTGCGCACCCCTGGTGCGAGAATATGCCCTGCCTGCTGTGCCTGGGCTCACGGATAGCGGCCGTGGTGAGAGACCATCCCCTGCGCCCCCCCTATGGTGTCGAGAATATGCCATGCCTGCTGTGCCCTGGACGACCGTCACAGATAGCGGCCGCGGTGAGAGACCACCCCCTGCGCACCCCCTATGATGTCGAAAATATGCCATGCCTTCTGTACCCTGGACGACCGTCACGGATAGCGGCCGCCGTGAGAGACCAGCCCCTGCGCACCCCCTACGCTGCTGTGCATGTGCTGTGCTGTGCTGTGCTGTGCTGTGCTGTGCTGTGCTGTGCTGTGCTGTGCTGTGCTGTGCTGTGCTGTGCTGCGCTGTGTGAGAAGGAGAGAGAGGTGAGGTGTGAGTGTCGCGGGGGCGGCGCGGCAGTGAAGAAAGAGGAGGAGGGGAGGGGAGGAGACGCGGGTGCGCCGCGGCAGGGAAGAAAACCAGAACCCCACGAAACATGTGGGGAAAAACCAAAACCCCACGAAACATGTGGGGAAAAAAACCCCTTGGGGCATTTTGGGGGCCTCTTGGGCCGTCTGGAGGACATCTTGGGCCATCTCGGGTGCATCTCGGCCCGTTTTCGAGGCATCCAGGGGCCGTCTTAGGCTCTCCTGGGGCCCTCCCCGCAGTCCTGGGCGAAGTGGAGGCCATCTCCGGGCCTTGGGCCCTCGTGGTGCCATCGCAGCCGCCCTGCAGGCCTCTTGGCCGTCCTGGGGGCCACCTCGGGGCGGCCTGGAGCGGCGAGACCGACGCCCCGGAGAGGCTGTGCGGGGGCGCCTCTCCTGGGCGGGCGGCCGCTGGGAGCCCCCCCCTGGTCCGCAGGGCCGTGCGCCATCGGCCGGGGCCCCGCCACGGGAGCTCCCGGGGGCCTCGCCGTGGCCGCCCCCGCGGGGGGGGGGGGGTCTCCCGCCCCCGCTTCCCTCGGGCCGATCTCAGGGGTCTGCTGGCCGTCCAAGGGGGAGGGGGGGGGATCTCGGGGCGCAGGGCCCCAGTGAGGTGTCGGCTCGGGAGTCCCCTCTTTCGCCCTTCTTCTGGGGGGGGGGCCTTTTGAGAGCGTCCTGGGGGCGTCTTGGGCAGCGGTGGGGCCTTGTTTGAAGCCCCTGGGGGCCGTTTTGGGGTGGTCGTCTTGGAGCCCTGTTGGGCCGTCTTGGAGCGTCGGAAGCCCGAGTAAGCGAGAACACAGGAATCGGTCATAGACCAAAGGGCAGACAACGTGGTGTGTTTCTTGGGGGCCTCTTGGAGCCCTCTTTGGGCGGGGGGGCGCTTGGGCCCTCTTGAGGCCCCTCTTGGGTCGCATCGGGGCCTTCTTAGACCGTGTTGGAATCGTCTCGGGCCTCTTGGAGCCTTCTTGGCCCGTTCTGGAGCCTTCCTTTGGACATGGAAATTACGCGACAAGTCGCTGGGACTTGCGACTATGGGCTGTGAGACCTGAAAGAGTATCATTGTGTTCGGCAGAGAGGATGATAAAGGACCTGGGGGCACTCCACTTTGTGCCTCGCGGCACGGTCGCAGACTCCTGCCCAGTCTTCAATTTGACTGGACCCCGCTGAATCTGGCTTGATGTTGAGCTCAATCTGGCTCAATGTTGGCTTGATTTGGCTTCAGGAGCCCCCCACGTGGGCGTAGCAGTCTTGAGCCGTTCCCACGACTGCCTCCCATGAGCTGCAACCTAATATAGATTAGGAGGATCATCAGAGACCCGAGCCATCAGGGCCGGGTGTGGTCAGGGGTAGCTCCTCATTCGTGTTTCGGGGGGGCCCAAACCGTTTTTGCCCCGGACTGGCGTTACCTTGGATAATACGAGCAACCAACCACTCCCGAATCATAGGGGCTGAGGGCGGTCTGGGGCAGCTCCTGGTTCGCGTGTTGGGAGCCAAAACCAGAGCTGCACTTGCCCAGAGTTACCTCGGATAATTCAAGCGTCCAAGATCAGGCTTGGCCCATGATGAGAGTGCATCGCTCTCGAGCGTTACAGATCGTTCCCAGAGTGTTCCTTTGAGGGAACGTCGCACGTGTTGTTATGGCTACTTGTTGCCATATATAACTCAGAGAAGGAAGTCGTGCGACGTATTTTTGTTAATGGCAAGTGGTAGCCATACTGCACATATTATGTTCCAAATAACACAGAGAAGGAGGTCGTGCGACGTATTTTTGCGAATGGCAACTGGTAGCCATACTGCACCATCTGAGCGCTCCGAGACAGGCGACGGCGCTGGGTCCATCCTCCAGAGCCGCCGGCTTGCAGAGATTCCCCGCTCATGCTCATCCCTTGAGTCTTAGAGTCGGACGAGGAAGATGTGGAGGAGGAGGAGGAGGAGGAAGATGTGGAGGAGGAGGAGGAGGAGGAGGAGGAGGAGGAGGAGAAGATAAGAGGATGCTGTTGAGGAGGAGGGGAACTCGGGAGCGACCAATGACCAGGTTGGGGTGGATACCATGGCCTGCGGGAGGGAGCTGCTGAGGAGGAGGACCGTTCGGGGGCGATCCAGTTCTCGGTGATGACCAGGGTGGGGTGGATATCATGGTCCGGGCGACGAGACCTCAGATTTCATGGCCTCCTCTTCCGCTTTGACTGCGTCCCCCGACCCCCCCCCCCGTCGTCCGCGCACGCGTCTCCGGCCATGCCACGGCGATCAGCGCTTTGCCTCTGCCCCTGATCACGCCCAAAATCCCGCGCGGGGCCAGGGCGGCGGCATGGAGGAGAACCTGGGCCACCTTGCTACCCCCGGCGCTCAGAGGTGGGGGCAGCAGCAGGGGCCATGGATCGGACGTCGATAGCGCCGAGCCCCACCTGGCTGCTCACGAGATGCGCAAGGCTGATGTCGGCGGCGAGCGAGGGGGGGGAACTGAGAAACGGAGAAGGCCCCCTCCGAAGGCGACGGGACGTCTCGGACGCCCCCGCGCGTTCTGCAAGGCGCTCTGCGCCTGCGGGAAAGGCTTAGGACACTCCTCAGAAGTCTGTTGGCCTCCCGAGCCTCCTGAGAAGGCCCGCCCCTCCTCGTTCCCCCCCCTCGCTTGCCGCCGATGATGTTCGCCAGCATGCCAGTCCCTCCCCGCGCTGGCGCCACCCGCCAGCGCGGCGGCCCGGCGCCCCCCCCCAGGGCTCGTTTCGATTCCTCCGATTCGATTCGATTCGATTTCGGTGGATTCCGATTCCGATTCGATTCGATTTCGGATTCCGATTTGGGGTCCGATCTCTCATTGGAGGCAACACTAGCCCGCCGATTTCCGCCGAGTCGACTTCTCCCGACTCGGCTGCCGATTTCCGCCGATCCGACTCACGTCGATTGCCGATCCGATTTATCGATTCGACTCTGGGCTCTCCTGCCCCCCCCCGCTCCCGAGGATAGGGCGCATCAAGAGGGCGGAGGAGAAGGCGCAGCAGGACGCCCGGCCGCTCCCTCGGCGGCGGCGGGCGAGGGGGGGGGGAAGCGAGAAGGCGGCGGGGCCTCTCGGAAGCCCTCGCGCTCTCCGCGCGGTTTCCCGTGCCTTCGGGGAAGGGTCCGAGCAGTGTTCGGATGTCTGGGGGACATCCCGAGCCTTTCTGGGTACTCCAGATTTCGTAATAAAAGGGAGGGGGTCTGGATCTTCCAAGACGAGCCATTTCAGACCTCCCCCGTGGGAGAACCCTCCAAAACATCGTCCCCAGACCCCCCCAGGCCCTCCAAGATAGCTTGGAAGAGACCCCCCCCGAAATGAGACCCCCCTCCTTTTATTACGAAATCTGGAGTAGTCGAAGGCCAGACTGTCAGATTGGATTGGGCCCCAAGGGCCAATCTGGCCCGGCCAAGCTGGATGATCTGGGTTATTCGCCAGACTGGATTCGCGTTGGCTCCCTCGCCAGATTGCCCCCGCTCGCCAGATCGGGCCTGCCGGATTGGCGCCAGACTACCCAGAGCCTTTGGGAAGGCCCGTCTAGACGCGAGGCGGCCGAAGGGGACGCCGCCCAGATCTCGCCATCGCTCGGACGTCCATTCCCCGTGCATGTTTCGGTTTCGTGCGTATTTTTTCGGTTCGTCGCAAGATGATCCAAGATACTCCTCGACGGTCCACACCGAGAAAAAGGCACTCGTCCGAGCGACATCAAGAGACCGCCCCTTCTCATGCCCCCCCCCCTCGCCCGCAGCCGACCTCAGAGGGAGGCATGGGGCCCAGAGAGAAAAGCATCGACCCCCCACTCGCCCACCGATCGCCCAGGGGGGGCCCGGTAGCCCGCCCGCCCCGCCCAGGAGGGTGCGGTCTTGCTTTCGGGTGCCTCTCGTATACGACATGGTGGAGCAACGTGCGGGAGGCGGTTTCGCGGCCTTGCCCGAGTCGGTTGAAAAAAAAGTTGGCGGAGCGGGCCGGGAGAGCTGATCTGGTTCAGCGTCGGTCAGTGTTGTCGGCCTCGCCGGGGATGGCAGTGCCGTGTCCACGATAGCACCAACTTGTCGAATCTTCGTGGATGCCGAGTTTCGCGGATGGTTGCTATGCTGTTGAAGGCGGCTTGACCAGCGAGGCATGGCCGACCTGCGACCGAAGACAAGCATGTGCCTTGAAAGTGACGCCCGAGCAGTTTCAGCACGCGCCTTCGCACGCACTCCTATCCATCAGGCTTACGCCACTCCGCCGACTCCCAGAAGAGGTAAGGAGTCAAAGTGCCGCTTTTCAGTAGTGCCTGATTGAAGCATTTGTTGGCAGTCCAGTGGCCTTCGGCTCATCCTGCCACCGTGCCTGGCGTGAAAGTCAGAGGCTTCTTTGCTCCAGCAAGGGTCTCTTGGGAAACCTTCACATGCGCCCCGGCACGCAATATTTTTTTATACCTCATCAGTGAGAGAGCAGGTCGTTTGCCAGATTGCTTGCTGTTCCCGGAGCCTGCTGCGTGCGGGACCAGGGGTGCCAGCAGCAGATTGAAATTGACCCTGGCAAGGCCAGATACACGACATGCAGGCAACGTAGGTGTGTGTGTGTGTGCTGTCACGTGAAAAAAGAGCAAGACGCTCTGACTGCGCGAGTTGCCGGGGCGAGGTGCGACATGTTTGGCCCAACGCATAGTCAAGCCTCTTGTCGCTTTATTTTCCCCTCCCCTCGAATTCTATCTTTCGAACAGTAAGTTATCAGTGAAGGGTGGGTGCGGGAAGGTTTCTCCTTTTTTCCCAACCATCCTGTGGTGTTGGGTCCTCGTTTTGAAGAGACGGTGCCCCGCGTTGTCCTTCCTTCCTTCCTTCCTTCCTTCCTCCCGCTGCCTCCTCCCCCCTCCCATTATCATCATCATCATCATCAACACCCAATTCGGCACACCCCTCACACGTTTCGTGGCTCCATAGGGAGCTCCACCGAAGGCCCCAGTGGCCGCGGCCGCATGCGTCACCCACACCCATTTCGGCACACCCCTCACACGTTTCGTGGCTCCATAGGGAGCTCCACCGAAGGCCCCAGTGCCCGCGGCCGCATGCGTCACCCACACCCATTTCGGCACACCCCTCACACGTTTCGTGGCTCCATAGGGAGCTCCACCGAAGGCCCCAGTGCCGCGGCCGCATGCGTCACCCACACCCATTTCGGCACACCCCTCACACGTTTCGTGGCTCCATAGGGAGCTCCACCGAAGGCCCCAGTGCCCGCGGCCGCATGCGTCACCCACACCCATTTCGGCACACCCCTCACACGTTTCGTGGCTCCATAGGGAGCTCCACCGAAGGCCCCAGTGCCCGCGGCCGCATGCGTCACCCACACCCATTTCGGCACACCCCTCACACGTTTCGTGGCTCCATAGGGAGCTCCACCGAAGGCCCCAGTGCCCGCGGCCGCATGCGTCACCCACACCCATTTCGGCACACCCCTCACACGTTTCGTGGCTCCATAGGGAGCTCCACCGAAGGCCCCAGTGCCCGCGGCCGCATGCGTCACCCACACCCATTTCGGCACACCCCTCACACGTTTCGTGGCTCCATAGGGAGCTCCACCGAAGGCCCCAGTGCCCGCGGCCGCATGCGTCACCCACACCCATTTCGGCACACCCCTCACACGTTTCGTGGCTCCATAGGGAGCTCCACCGAAGGCCCCAGTGCCCGCGGCCGCATGCGTCACCCACACCCATTTCGGCACACCCCTCACACGTTTCGTGGCTCCATAGGGAGCTCCACCGAAGGCCCCAGTGCCCGCGGCCGCATGCGTCACCCACACCCATTTCGGCACACCCCTCACACGCTTCGTGGCTCCATAGGGAGCTCCACCGAAGGCCCCAGTGCCCGCGGCCGCATGCGTCACCCACACCCATTTCGGCACACCCCTCACACGTTTCGTGGCTCCATAGGGAGCTCCACCGAAGGCCTCAGTGCCGCCGCCCGCATGCGTCACCCCCACCCATTTCGGCACACCCCCCGCATTTCTCGCACGGCAGGGTCATCACCACGGTGGCGTGCCAGGGGCGCACCATGCGCGAAGGCGACGGGGCGGGGGAACGGCGCTCCGGGGGCGGCCAGACCTCCGGGGCGCGAGCAGTCCGCGGCCAGACCATCTCTCGGTCCTGTGGACTCTCGCCCTGGGCCGTCGGCTGCCCGGCGCGCTGCTCCCTCGGTCGACGTCGCCCAGGCGTGATCCTGGATTGCGGCCGCCACGAGGTAGGGAACGGCAAGAAGGAGGACGACGACTGGTGGCTGGAGCTCTACGTGCTGCTCTCGCGCGCCACGCGCCACGAGGACCTCCTGCTCATGCGGGCGCCGCGCATCGAGTTCTTCCTGGCAGGGCCGCCGCAGGGCTTGCGGAAGCAGCTGGAGCAGTTTGCGGCGCGCACGAAGCGGTGCAGGAGGGAAGCGACGGCCCTCGCCAGGGAGCTCGGCTTCACCGAGTTCATCCGCGAGGCCTGACCTGAGGAGCGTCTCCCCCGAGCCGCGCCTTCTCTCGACTGCCCGACTAATTGTTTGGCCTCGCGCCGCGGACGACCCGCGCGCGTCGCTGGGACCCTCTCGGGGCGACCAGCGCGCGTCGCGGGAACTCCGTGCTGCGGGGGGCCCGGCGCCTCGTTCGCCCGTCGTCGCTCTGCCCAGCGGTCAGAGACTTGCCCGCTATCAGCCAGCCAGTTAGCTAGTCAGCTCTTTCTGCTTCGCGCAGCGGACGACCCGCGCGCGTCGCTGGGGCCCCGCCCGGGGCGACCAGCGCGCGTCGCGGGGACTCCGCGCTGCGCTGCGCCCGCAGCCTTGGATTTTGGAGTGCGCGGGCAAAGAGGAAGGAACAGAAGAGCCGAAAGCGGGCGCGATCCTCGCAAGAGGCGCGCCGACATGGGCGTCGCGACGTGCGAACGCTGCCGTCGGGGTTCCCGCGGAAGCTGCCTGCGGCGGCCACGCCCAGTGTCACGTGTGTTCGGACAGGCATGCTCGAACCATTCACATTCATATATACTTACACTAGGCGTTTCCATGATCGCATTCATGCAAATATAATCACTCGCGCGCAGACCCATTCGTACTCAGATTCCCTCGCGCTCTGACTCACCCGCGTTCTTTCTCTCGTAATCAGATCTATCGTATTCCTTTGCGTTGTGTACCCCGCCACATTTCGGCACACCCCTCATGCGGTTCGTGGCCCCATAGGGAGCGCCACCGAAGAAGATATTCACAATTGCGATACTCACAACTGCATATGGTTGGGTCCTTCGCCAGGATAATTTTTGCCGCGTTGGCTCAAGGTCCCTTTCCGCGCCCGCTAGAGCATGTGTTATCACACGCGCTACACAGTCTTTTTTACATCTGGGATTGACAAGTTCCTCATTCTGCCGTTCCGTTCTACATTCTACTTTGCAACGGAGCACCTTGCTCCATCACCGCAGCCGCCGTGGCCCGCGCGGCGATGCCTATCGTCCTTGGCGCCCGGTCCACGTCGACTACTACGTCGGCCCTGTCTACAATTACGTGGACCACACGTACCCGCTTCACTACATTTGGTGTTCATCTACTTCGCCCCGACCAGCGCCGTGCCTCGAAGGGCCCGCGGGGCCAGTCCGGCCCAGCTTCCCAGCACATTTACAAGGCCAAAGAACATTTGCCAGAAGGACAGCCCCCCCCCCGCGTTTCCCCCCTCTGAGCACTTTCGGAGTGTGTTCGAGATGTTCGGGGGCCGTTCGTCGTCACAGCGCCCGCCTGTGAGTGCCGCCGTCGACGTCAGACTCTGGAACGATCCGATTTCGACGTTCACGGTGTCGACGCAGTGCACCGCGTTATGTGTTGTGGATGGCCGTGGGGGAAATTGATGAATATGCATCGCCCTCATTGCATCCTCATCTGGGTACAGCCGGCTATGTCAAGCAGTCGTGTTTTGCGACGCTTACATTTGTCGTCGGCACAGCGCCCCGAGTCAGCCGCATTTCTATCGTGGAAGCTGGGGGAGCCGCGTGCAGGCAAGAGCGGG